GGAAGTGCCCCGTTGGAAGACGACCGCTTGAAAATCTTGAGCTGTGCCAGAACACCATTCTTGGGACTTCGACGCCGCGAATCACCGTAGCTGTTGCGTTTTGGCGATTCGGATTCGTGCCAGGACGCCGTTCCTGGTACTTCGACGCCGTGAATCGACGTAACTGATGCACTTTGACAGTCTGACGTCGTGACGTTAACCATGAATTCCTTGAAGCAGCTGAGAGCTACAACATACGACCGTACGCGGCGCAATTGTGGGAGCCACATATGAAAAAGAGCCATCCTCCATGCGTGAGTCTTTGGCAGTTGTCATAAACGAGTGTGTGTGGTGCTACGACGAAAGCCGCACTTTGAAAAACACCCGCCCTGTGTCCGTGAAGCCATTCTACAGTTCTGTACAACGAATACCGTTGTCGCTAAGGCTAGAACAACATTTTGACATCGACCCGCCCTCCATCCCTGAAGCGCTTGCAATTTTGTACAGCGAATGTGCGCGGCGATACGGCGATGGCCGCACTTTGACAGCGAGCCGCCCTCCACCCGTGAAGCTCTTAGAACCTTGTCGAATGAATGTTCGCGGCGCTAAGGCGAGAAACACATTTTGAAGACGACCCGCCCTCCATCCGTGAAACCTTTACAACATTGAAAGCGAATGTGCGGTGCGCTCAGGCGAGAACCGCATTTTGAAGACGACCCGCCCTCCATCTGTGAGTTTTTTTGCGCGTGCGAATTTCGAGTTTCAGGATAATGCGTTGCGCGGGGGTTTTCGGCAAAACGCCAGGCCCGCTCTTTCGACCGGCCTCGGGGTGCGACAGGGAGGAGTTATTCATAAGGACAAGGAATGGAGGGGGAGGGGGAGGAGGATGAGGGGGAGGAGGAGGAGGAGGAGGGGCGTGGCGAGCAGGAGGAGGTTAGAGGTTCCAGGCTCGAGGTTCGAGGTTGCGGGTCCAGCGGCGGGGCGGTGGCTTTGCCGCCGTCCCGCGCCCTGCCATGCGGGGGGGAGGACGACGAGGGAGTGCCCGGGATGGCGATGACGAGGAGGTCCTAGGTCTTGCAGGCCGCAGGAGGAACATGAGGAGGACGAGGACAAGGACAAAGAGGATGAGGAGGAGGAGAAGGATGAGGAGGAAGAGGAGGGGAGAGGAAGGATAGGAGGAGGAGGAGGAGGAGGAGGAGGAGGAGGAGGAGGAGGAGGAGGAGGAGGAGGAGGAGGAGGAGGGGGGGTGGAAGAGGAGGTGGGTGATGCCGCTGATGATGATGATGCTGCTGCTGCTGCTGATGATGATGATGATGATGATGATGATGATGATGCGGATGCTGCTGCTGCTGCTGCTGATGATGATGATGATGATGATGATGATGAGATGATGCTGCTTCTGCTCCTGCTGATGCTCACGATGGTGATGATAATGACGGTGATGATGATACTGATGCCGATGATGACGATGCTTCTGCTGATGCTGCTGATGATGATGCTGCTGGTGCTAATGACGATACCGAGGCCGATTACGATGACGATGATGATGCTGCTGATGATGATGATGATGATGATGATGATGATCGTGACGATGCTGACGATGATAATGATGATGAAGATGTCGACGATGACGATGGCGATGATGACGACAATGATGATGGTGATGATGGTGATGATGATGGTGCTGGTGTTGCTGATGATGACGATGCTGATGGTGATGATGACGGTGATGATGATAATGCTGTTGATGATGGCGATGATGATGATGAGGTTGATGGTGCTACTGCTGCTGCTGATGATGATGCTGATGATAATGATGATGATGGTGAAGATGATGCTGCTGCTGATGATGATGATGATGGTGAATTTGATGATGATGATGATGATGGTGAAGTTGTTGATGATGATGATGATGATGATGATGATGATGGTGGTGGTGGTGGTGGTGATGCTTCAGCTGATGATGCTGCTGCTGATGATGATGATGAGGAAGAGGAAGAGGATGATGATGATGATGATGATGATGATGATGATGATGATGATGATGATGATGATGCTGATGATGATGATGATGATGAGGATGAGGATGAGGATGAGGATGAGGATGATGATGATGATGATGATGATGATGATGATGATGATGATAATAATACTGATGCAGATGTTGATGCGGATGATGATGACGAGGGTGATGGTGACGATGAGGAGGAGCAGGAGGAGGAGGAGGAGGAGGAGGAGGAGGAGGATGAGGATGGAGGTTGGAGGTTCCAGGCTCGAGGTTCGAGGTCGCGTGTGGGATGCGCGGCGGGGCGGCCGCTTCGCGCGGGGAGGAGGACGACGAGTGGGGAAGTCGGGCATGCCTGGGGAAACATTTTTTTTCGCATCGATGCCGATCGCGCACAGCGCTCGGAGCCCGAGCGGGGCCACTGCGACGCGAGCCGCGCACAAAACGGGGAGGAAGAGGCGAGGCGGCCGCGGAGGCGGGCAGAGGCAGGGCGCGCGGCTCCGCTCGTGCAGGCAGGCCCGGGGCACGAACGGAGAAGGCACCGAAGCATTCGGCACGGAGGTCTCTTGCCGATGCCAGCCTCCCGGGGCCCTCGCCTCTGGGCCTGCCAGCGGGGGGTCCGGCCAGAGGGGGTCGGACCACGCCGCATCGCCGATCTGCATCGGGGATGCGGAGCGGTGTGGAATCAGATTTTCTCCACGCCTGCGTCGCCGAAGCATCGGCGATGCGGCGCGATCTGCCGACACCCTCCACGCGGACCCCATTTGGGAGGCCTCTATCTCCAGGCCCCAGGGTGGAGAAGCTGGCCCTGGGGACAGGTCCGGACATCCTGGGACGACGTTTTCGAGATGCAGGTAAAACGTCAGCCAACCAAATTCGTTTCAGATCCGCCCAACGTGTCCCCCAAGGCTCGCCGCACACTATCACGAGCAGCGCCGTGACGAGGCACAGGGGAGGCGCGGAGTGTGCTCGCTCCTCTCCCCCTTTTTCCCCCCTTCCGAGCTTCGCCATTCTCTTCGTTCGCATTTTCATATCAGTACCTTCTTCGGGGCCTCTGCGCTGATCATTTCGACGAGTGGGACAACACTTGCCGCTGCTTGCGTTTCCCTGTCGCCCCTCCTTCTTTCCCGAAGAGGTGGCCGCGGGGGAAGAAAAAGTCTTCGCTGCCGCCTTGGCGTCAAACCGACGAGGCCGTATACGTTACACCGGGACCCCGGGCGGCCCTGGCCGGAGACGAGCGCCGTGGTGACTGGAGGCATGTGGCTGCCGTTTCCGAGGCAGGCCCCGAGGAGCGGCACGCCAAGGCCCTCCACCCGCCAGGGAAGGCCGTCTGCTCGGTCCTCGATCCTCGAGCCCAGCCCACTCGACGAAACCCTCGGGGCCGGACCCCGCAGGCGACTGGGACGTCTCCGCAGACGCGGAGGTGGAGGAGAGCGCGCGCGCGCGTGCGCCCGCGGGCTGCGTGCCGTCGCGACGGGCGGCGGCCGCCGCCGGTGCTCTGGTGCTCACCCGCCCCCCTCCCCCCCCTCTGCCCCGGAGGTCTGCACGGTTGGAGGGCGGCTCTGGGCTTCCTGATGGGGTGATGGCCAGGAAAACGAGGGATCCTTGCGTGCCTGGCGGCTTTTTTGCAGTCGACCTGCAGGGGTGACAGCAGGCAAGTCGAGGTAAATCCAGAAAAATCTAGGCAAATCCTCCAAAAGAGGTAGATCCATACAAATCTACGCAGATCCAAAGATATCCAGGCAAATCAGGAGGAGTCGTTGAAGCTCCAGCGCGAGTCGAGGGACACCAGAAGTCGTTACTCCCTTGACGAAGGGGGGGCGGGAAGCACTGGATGGTTGCCGCCTCTAGGTATCAAGATGGGGTCTGTCGAGGTTGACACCCCTCTCTGTGGCCGTCTTTGCTGGCCCAAGGACCAGAGGGAGAGCCCCGCCCCCCCCACCCTCGAAGCCCGAGCGGGATCAAGAGTGAAGGTGATGGAGACCCCCGCGGGCCACGCACGAGAGAATTGGGGGAGCGAATGGTGGAGAAGGGAAGGAGGTAGGGGCGGGGGGGGAGGGGGAATTAGGGGGCAGGAGGGGGAGGGAGTGGAAGGAGTGGACGGAGTGAGGGAGGAGAAGGAGGAGGAGGAGGAGGAGGAGGAGGAGGAGGAGGAGGAGGAGGAGGAGGAGGTGAGGGAGGAGGGGGAGCGTCGGGGCAGGGTGGGTGAGCGGGGTGGAAGCGGGGCCGGCTGGTCCGAGCCGGGGAGGGAGGAGGCTCAGGAGGGCTGCCTGTATGTCGGACGGGGGCCGTCATTGTCGTTGTCGTTGTCATTGTTTTTGCTGTTTTTGTTATTGTTGTTGTTGCTGCTGTTGTTGTTGTTGCTGCTGTTGCTTGAATGTTAATTACTAAACAGTTTTTATTATTGGACACCTTAAAGGCGCTTGGGCGCTCTCGCTTCGGCGCCGGCTACATGTTCATTGAACATGAGGCTCACGCTCGAGCAGTTTGGGGGACCACCAAAACCGGCCCCCCAACAACAACAACGCTCCCGCTCGAGACTTCCTTCTTTTTTACTCAGGGCTGGTGTTCATGCTCGCCGCCGAAAGCCGCCGTCCTAACAAAACCAGCGCTCCTGCTCGAGACTTCCTCCCGTTTTACCTTGGACTGGCGCGCTAGTCTTTCTCTCATCGGCGCTGCCCCCAGCAAAAATAACGCTCCCGCTCGAGGCTTCCTCCCTTCTTTACTCAAGGCGGTGCTCCTCATTGCCGCCGAAAACCGCCGCCCCGACAAAACCAGCGCTCCCGCCTGAGACTTCCTTCCGTTGTACGCTGAACTGGCGCCCAACTCTCTTTTGAATTGGCGCCGCTCCCAGCAAGAACAACGCTCCCGCTCGAGGCTTCCATCCTTTTTCCTGAAGACTGTGCTGTCCCTCGCCGCCGACAACCCCCGTCCCGAAGAATATCACGACTCCCGCTCGATGCTTCCTCCTTTCCTACTCAAGGCGGTGTTCCTTCTCGCCGCCGAAAAAACCGCCGCCCCGACACAACCAGCGCTCCCGCCCGAGACTTCCTTCCGTTTTACGCTGGACTGGCGCCCTACTCTCTTTTGAATTGGCACCGCTCCCAGCAAGAGCAACGCTCCCGCTCGAGATTTTCCTGATTTTTTCCTTAGGATGGTGCTGTTCCTCGCCGACGACAGCCCCCGTCCCGACAAAACCACGGCTCCCGCTCGATGCTTCCTCCTTTCCTTACTCAAGGCGGTCTTCCTCCTCGCCGCCGAAAGCCGCCGTCCCAACAAAACCAGCGTTCCCGCTCGAGACTTCGTTTTGTTTTGCGCTGGACTAGCGCCCTACTCTCTTCAGCATTGGCGCCGCTCCCAGCAACAACAGCAGCCCTGCTCGAGACTTCCTCCCTTTCTATTCAGGGCCAGGTCCTTGCCTCACCGCCGACAGCCCCCATCCCCACCAAGGCAGTCCTGTCGTTCGATACTTCCTTGTGCTTTACCCTTCGCTGGGGTTCCACTGGTGGTCTCGCATCGGCGCAGCAAGTCGCGTGCATGTGTTTTCGAGGCGGGATATGTTGAAATTCCTCTGAGGAGGTGTTTGCAAGACCTCATTGGGCGGGATATCTGGGAATGGGAATAACGGACCCCGCCATAGAACAAGAGTCCCCCATTACGTGGGTGGTTATCATGATGGTCGCATGCTTCGTGTGGAAACATCGCGCATGAGGGTACCATGGTTGTTGTTGTTGCTGCTGCTGCTGCTGCTGCTGCTGTTGTTGTTGTTGTTGTTGTTGTTGTTGTTGTTGTTGTTGTTGAATTCTCACTACTGAAGAACAATTAGTGTTGATCCCCCTCCTGTGACCACGGTGTTTTTTTCAATTGAAGTGCTTCCCCCGGGGCTCGCACCCTGCTTGTCATCAGGGAAAGTCACGGGGCTCAAACTGGGACCCTGGCCCCCAGCTTTCCAACAACAACATCAACAACGGCTCCCGCCGGATACTTCCTCACGGTTTATTCCCAAATCGCGCTCTCGCGCGGGACTTCTCACAATTCATGTACGCATCGCGCTCTCGCGTGGGACTTCCTTGCAATTTATTCCGAATGCGCCCTCGGCGCTCAGGAATCACGCTCGCGTTTTTGCTTTTCTCGCGATTTACTTGGGAATCGCGCTATCGCTCGAGACCTCCTCGCGATTCATGCAGGACCCACGCTTCAGCAACCCGCCTGCTCGACCTGGTCGCCTGGGCCCGCCTTCCCGACCTGCCCGCTATGGGTCAGCCCACCCGCTCTGCCCGTCTGGTTCTACCACTACTTGTTTTCTACTCCTCGCCCCCCTCCTGCTAATTTTTCTCGTGCTCCATTCTTCTTCCTCCCCCTTCCACCCGTCCTCTCTTCCCTTGTTTTAGGGGCTTCATTAAATGCACGTGGCAGGTAAGGAAGATATATCCCCAAGGGGTGTACGATCTAAGATGACGAGGGCGGGTACCGAGGCTTTGGGATATACGTCTTGGTTGGCACGTGAGCAGATAGGAGTGAGCAGTCTTCAAATGATTGGTGTTGTTGTTGTCGTTGTTGTTATTGCTGCTGCTGCCGTTGTTGGTGTTATTGCTGTTGTTGTTGTCGTTGTTGTTTTTGTTGTCGTCGTTGTCGTCGTCCCTCCGTTCTTGTCCTCGCTCCTGGCGACGTCATTCGGTCCTCGTCGTTGTCGTTGTCCTTCGTTTTCGTCGTCGTCCTCGCTCCGCTGTTTGTTCCGTTGCCGACGTCGTTGTCGCCGTCTTCGTTTTCATCGTCGGCATCGTCGTTATTGTCCTTCGCCTCTCATCGTCGTCGTCGTCGCCGCCGTCGTCGTCTTCGTCGTCGTCGTCGTCGTCGTTTTGTTCGTCGTCGTTGTCTTCGGCGTCGTCGTCGTCGTTGTCGTCTTCTTATTCGTCGTCAGGGTGGTCCGGCATTCTGGCGCAGTGTCCAGGAGCTCGGCGGCACCGTGCGGAGCACGCTGCGGTCGGACCTGGACTGGAGCATGGCGCTTGAAAAGGGCTTCCACCTCGACAGAGGAGCCTCGTTCCCCCTCTGTCTGTCTGGTTTTCTGTCTGTCTGTCTGTCGTTCTGTGTGTGTGTGTGTCTGTCTGTCCCTGTCTCTGTCTCTGTCTTTGTCTCTGTCCCCGTCTCCGTCTCTGTCCCTGTCTCTGTCTCTGTCTTTGCCTCTGTCCTTATCTCTGTCTCTGCCTCTGCCTCTGCCTCTGCCTGCCTGCCTGTCTTGTCTTGTCTTGTCTTGTCTTGTCTTGTCTTGTCTTGTCTTGTCTTGTCTTGTCTTGTCTTGTCTTGTCTTGTCTTGTCTTGTCTTGTCTTGTCTTGTCTTGTCTTGTCTTGTCTTGTCTTGTCTTGTCTTGTCTTGTCGTGTCGTGTCGTGTCGTGTCGTGTCGTGTCGTGTCGTGTCGTGTCGTGTCGTGTCGTCTGTCTGTCTGTCTGTCTGTCTATCTTGTCTTGTCTGTCGGTCTGTCTGTCAGTTTGTCTGTCTCTCTGTTTGTCTGTCTGTCTGAAGCCCCCGCAATAGCACCGGTGCAATCCCGCCAGGGCCCCAGATACAGCTGGGCCGTTTCACCACACGAGACTCGCGGTGTTCCGCGTCATGGCCCTCGTCCCCCAGGCGCGGCTGGGGCGCGCACTCGAGGCGTGGCTGGGGGGCGCCCCAGCGACGTGGGAGCCCGAGAGAGAGAGAGAGAGAGTCTGTCTGTCTGTCTGACTTTCTGTCTGTGTGGCTGTCTGTCTGTCTGTCTGTCTGTCTGTCTGTCTGTCTGTCTGTCTGTCTGTCTGTCTGTCTGTCTGTCTGTCTGTCTGTCCGTCCGTCTCTCTCCCTTTCTCTCTCTCTCTCTCTTTGTCTCTCTGTTTTTGTTCGTATCTCTCTTGCTCTCTCTCTCTCTCTTTCTGTTTCCCTCTCTCGCTCTCTTCTTCCTCAATTTCGACTCTTCCTCCCCCCCCTTCCCTTCCACTCATATTTTTCCCCTCCTCTTGTTCCTCCTTCTCCTCCTTCTCTTTTCCCTATCTCGCTCCTCCTTTTTCTCCCCTCCTTCTCCTCGCACCATCCTCCTCCTCCTCCTCCTCCTCCCTCTCCTCCTCCTCCTTTTCCTCCTCCTCCTTCTCCTCCTCCTCCTCCTCCTCCTTCTCCTCCTCCTCCTCCTCTATGGGAGGGCGGGCGCGCGCAGGGGGATGGCGCCAGGCTGGCGGCCCTCTAAGAAGCCTTTGGGGCTTATAAAGGCAGAGGCTTTGCGCGAAACCCCTCCTGGCCTCGAAGAAGCTTCCTCAGGGACCCCACAGCCCTTATGGAAAACTTTCTGCTTTCTTGGACGCCTCCCCAGGCTTTTTAGGAGGCCGGCCCCCTGGCGCCATACCCTTGTGCGCGCTGACAAGGGCAACAGGGGATAGGTGGACTGCGGCAGGGTTCTCGCGAGCGCCTTTGCAGCTTCTTGCCGGGGCTTCGGGCTAGAGAAAGGCCCATCTGCCCAGAATGGTCGGCGGGCCTCCCGAGATGATGCTGGAGGGCTTCAGGAGGAATAGGACACGCAGCCCCAGGTAGCCCCTGGGTCCAGGGTGGGAATCCACTCGGGTGCTCTCGGGCCGGAGGAGAGGAAAGGAGTATGGAGGTGGGGGCGGTGGAGGGAAGCAGCGGGGGAGGAATGGGGTGGAGGGAGAAAACACTAAAGAAGGGATATAGGGCGAGGGAGAGAAGGTGGATGAATGGAGCGAGCACGCAGGGAGGGAGACAGAGAGATAGTGAGGATGGAAGAGGGATCTATGTAGAGAGAGAGAGAGAGAGAGACAGAAAGAGAGAGAGAGAGAGAGAGAGAGAAAAAGAGAGAGAGAGAGAGAGAGAGAGAGAAAGAGAGGGAAAGAGAGAGAGATAGAGAGAGAGAGAGAGAGAAAAAGAGAGAGAGGGGCAGAGAGAGAGGGAACGAGGAAGAGAGGGGGATACACACACATACATATATATTTATATATACATATATATAGTCGAAGAGAGAGAGAGAGAGAGAGAGAGAGAGAGAGAGAGAGAGAGCGAGACCGAGAGAGAGAGAGAGAGAGAGAGAACAAACAGAGAGAGGGGGGAGGGAGGGGGGAGGGAGGGAGGGGGGGAGGAGAGAGGAAACATGTTACAGAAGAGCGGAGGGAGACGTGAGGAAATGGGGGGTGGAAGGCGAGTGTCGCACTGACGTTGGATCCCCGCGCCCCTGGTAGCGATGCGTCGGCCAGATCGTGGTCCTCTCAGGCGCCGCTCCTCCGCCCTGACTCAGGGTCCAGATCGATCCGATTTGACATCGATTCTGACTGGCCCGGTTCGATTCGATTCCAATTTCCCGATGATCCGATGCGGTCCGATCCGTTGTGCATCCTGGCGCGGCCGATCCGATTGGATCTCGGCTCCGGGCCGCTGCGGCCATTCCGATTCGATCCAGTTCCCCGATTCGATTTTGACCAATCCTGCCCTGAATTCCCGGGGCCTCAGAAACAGCCCTGGCGCGCCCTTCCTCACCCCACAGTGTTTCCTCTCGTCGGCGTCCTTGCCACTTTCCACGAGCCTGCTCGGCTGGCCCGGTCTTGGCGCGCTTGTTGCTGGCGCACCGCCCGAATCGCAGCTGCTTCTGCCCGCTCGTCGCTCCTCGCGGCAGAGTGGCGTGGCCTTGGGCGCCCACCTCGCGGACGGGCCCTCGGAGTGCCCCTCCCGGCCCCGCTCGGTCCTCCTGCGCTCTCCTCGGTGTGTGCCCTGGGCGGCGCGCGCGAGGGGGGCGGGCGCGCAGGGTTTGTGGCCTTCTGGGCAGGCGGGGGGGGCTCCTTCGTCTACGAAGAAGTCCTCCCAGAAGCCCTTCATCCACGAAGGATTGCAAAAAAACGAAGGATTGCAAAAAAGGATTGCAAAAGATGGCAAAACAAAGAATTGCAAAAAAACGAAGGATTGCAAAAAAAATGATTGCAAAAAAACGAAGGATTGCAAAAAAAAGCCCTGCCTCCCCAGAACGCCCCCCCGCCTTCTGAGACGGCCCCGCCCCCCTGGTGCGCGCCGCCAATGCCCTCTCCGCCTCGCCGCCCGCCTCCCCGTCGCTCTCCTCGCAGGCCTCCGCGGCCGGGCGGGAAGCTCATGTGGATTCGTTGTGCTTAGGGTCACGTGCCTGTCCGCTCCCTCCACGAGGAGTCAACGCCGCCATGACCTACGGCGCAACACAGGACGGCATGTTCGTGAAGGGCCAGCTCGATGGCTCAGCCACGCCCGTGAAGAAAAGGGACCTGAAGGCGCTCTACAGGCCTCTGCGAAAGGGCGGAGTGCTGCTGACTTCCAGGGGGGACATGGCCCAGGAGGGAGAGGACGGACCGGCGAGATGTGAAAAAGGAGGAGGAGGAGGAGGAGGAGGAGGAGGAGGAGGAGGAGGAGGAGGAGGAGGAGGAGGAGGAGGAGGAGGAGGTGGAGGTGGAGGTGGAGATGAAAGAGGAGACGGATGACACTGAGGGTGGGGGCAACGGACATGATAAGAGAGGAGAGGAAGGCGGAGGAGAGCAGGAGTGGTCAAGGAGTGAAGCGGAGAAGAAAGGAGAGGAGAGGAGAGGAGAGCAGAGGAGAGGCGAGCAGAAGAGGAGGATGGTAAGGGGTAGAGGGGAGGAGCTGGTTGGGATGGGGAGGGCAGTCCCGAAGGGGATACGGCTCCAACCGCCAAAGACTGGCAGGGCTACGTGCCGCTTTCGGAGCGCGAGGCCTTCTTACGGTCGGGAAACTTTGGACAGCGTCTCGCTCCCCGGTTCTGCCCAGCCGCGCCTTGGTGCGACACGCTGTCATTTTACGGTCCCGAGGCGTCCACGTCCCGAGCTTTGCTGAGCCTTTCGCCCCGTGGAGCGAAGCGACACGCTATCCGCTTGCGCAAGGCATAGCGTGTCGCGGGGGCCGCCGTGGCGACCCTTGTGCCAGGTTGCAACGGAGATGCAGAGCTGTCGCCGCCAGTTAACAGGGCTTCCTCGAAGCGGAGCCGGATTTCCAGACTAACGATGCCCAGCTCGTGGATTCTACGGAAGCAAGTGAGTGCTCCTTTGTGCAGTGGCCGCGGGTCTCTCGTGCAAACCCTGAGCGAGGTTTTGAATGCTCGCCTGGACCTCGTTCACGGTGGTCACGGTGGTGGGACCCTGGGCGCCTGGCAGTCGGCCGAGGAGAGCGCGCGGTTCTGGTGATCGACTCCACGATTGCCGTCGGGGCCAGTGCGCATATCTTCGAGTGTGCCGTTGCCAATCTCACGGGGCGTGGGGGATGGGTTCATCGCATAGCCAGGCGCACCGGTATCACCGTATGAAGTTATGTGAAGAAGGCGTCGTAACCACGTCGCTCGGGCAACGTTATGCTACAGCATCACCCGCAGTCTACTATTTGTAGGCTCAGGTGCTTGGTTTGCTGCATGCTCAGCCTGTTCTACTCGTTGGACATCTCTGCCCGATATTGATTGCAGCGACGAGGGTGAACCTTTGTACCATCTCGAGTCGTCTCAATGTGACCTTCACGGGGACACCGCTGGAAGACAGCTGGAAGTTGACGTACTACAGCCTGCACTTTATATTTCGCCTCCGTGGAGGCATGCGCATCTCCGAAACGACGCTCACGGAGAGATCACTACGCTTGACACGGCGGCCAGAGACACGATATTCCCTTACATTTTGTCTGGGGATGTCCATTCAGATTTGAGCTCTTACAAAGCATCCCGATGACCTGACAGCGCCTCGACCGTCTCGGAGTGCAGGGGAACAGCTGCCGACGTGCTCCCTGCAACACATGTTTCTGATAATGTAGTGAGGCTGCGGGAAAGAGAGACAGTGGGAGAGGGAAAGAGAACGAGTAAGAGAGCGATACATACATATATATATATATGTGTATATATATACATATATAGATGTACACTCATATTGTGTGTGCGCATGCTCTCCGATGCAAGGTTGCCAACTTACTTTGAGCGTGTCCCGCCTCGAAAATGGCGATTGTACTCCATCGGCGCGCAGGAGCAAGTGTGTGTGTGTGTGCGTGTGTGTGTGTGTGTCTGTGAATGGGCATGTGTGTGAGTGGGGGTGCGTGCGTCTGTCTGTGCATGCCCTGTGTTCTCTGTGACATCACTGTTGCTTTTATCCGCCCTTGTGGCCAAGTGTGTGTGTGTGTGTGTGTGTGTGGGTCTGTATGTGTCTGAATGTTGCGTTAGCTAGCGCGGTCCGCGCTCTTCCCGCTTGACTTGCCCTACGCCTCGCCGCCGCGGGCGTGGCTGCGACGACATCAAGAGTGTGTGTGTGTGTCTGTGTGTGCGTGCGCCCAGTTCTACCCAGCGGTCGGCTACGCCTGACTTCAGCTGGGGTCAACAGTTTCGGCTTCGCCCCTATACAAGGTGGTGAGCTTGCTTTGCGCGCAGCCCGCCATTGTAGTTCTGGATCCGTCGATTGCAACCCATCGGAGCGCCGGAGGGACACAGTGTGTGCGTCCTGGGCTCCTTCCATTCTTGTCCTGCTACCCCGCCGCGCCACCCGCCTCTGGCGTGGCCGCCCTCCCCCAGCGTTCCACCGCACGCCGTTTACACTTAGGCCTGCCTGTCGCCGCCGCTGCGCCTTGCATCTCCTCCCTCTGCTCTGGCTTCGGCTGCACGCAAGAGCGGCCCTTCTCCAGAGTTACCCTTGGCGCGCAGCTTTCAGGGTTCGCGGGAGGGGGTCAAGCCCAGAGCACGCGGGCCGCCACTTGTCGCCCCGCACGAAGCGGTCGGCAGGCTGCCGCGCACCACATGGCGCCCTTGCCCAGGGCCGCTCTTGCGCGAGGCCGAGCTCTGGCTGCCTCGCCTCGCTTCGGGGGCAGTCCCGCTCGTCTGCTGCCAGGGTCTCACCTCGGTCCCACTCTCCCCCCCGCCCCCTGGCGCTCACCGCCACCCACTGGGGCCGCTTCGGCCCGCGCTCTCTGCGCTGGCGCGGGGCGTGCGCTCCTCTGCTGGGTGAGCGCTGTCCCTCGCCCCGTGCTCTCTGCGGGTGCTCGGTGGCGCCCGCTCGGGGCCTTCCAGAAGGGGCCCCGCCTTCGGCGCGCCTCGCCCTCGGCGGACGCCGAGCGGGAGGCAGAAAGGGTGGCGGGTCCGCCGGCGGAAGACGGCGGAGGTGACGGTCAGGCGTCGACGGTTTTGGATTCCGGGCTTCCGGGGTCGGCCACTCGTCGCCCCAGCCCTCGGGAGGAGGTCGGCGTGCCCTCCATCTGGGCTGGGCCTTCCTGCGGGAGAGGGGCTGCGACGTCCCCAGGGCGTTCTTGTCCACCCGTGCTGCTCCCGTATCGGGGAACCGTCCTTCGCGCCCCCCCGCTAGCCCCGCCCTCTGGGGCCTGCCTCAGCGCGCAGCTCCCGGGCCCCCGTTGAGCCCTGCAGCGACTGCAGCTGTGCACTGCCGTGCATCCCTTTCTCGCCGCCCTCGTCCTGACAGCTGACCTCCGGCACCCGCTCATCCGCAGTAGGCTGCCCCCCTCCCCTGGATGCTGCGACCAGCCTCCTGGCTCACCCCTCCCGCTTCGGTCGATTCGGATGCAACTCCTGGGAGGTCAAATTCTGATTTTGCCCTGGTCCGAAATCTAGCTTAGTCCGGCTTAATCCTGTTTAATCTGGCTTAATCTTGCCGGATCCCGCTTAATCCGGCTTAATCCCGCTTAATTCGAGGCCCGCTCCGACGTAACAGCCCCCCAATGGGGCTTAATTTTTTTAAAACCTTCCGACGAAGACCTCCCAATAGTTGCTTCCTAAGGTCGACCTGTCTTTCGCGGAGCTGTCTGTCGCGGCTGCCCCCCCCGGGGCCAGCCGCTCTCTCTCTCTCTCTATTTTTCGCTTTCTCTCTCTCTCTTTTTTTTTTTTTTTTTTTTTTTTTTTTTTTTTTTTTTTTTTTTTTTTTTTTTTTTCTCTCTCTCTCTCTCTCTCTTTCCTCTCTGCGTCGTCCGCTTGCCGCCGTCTGCGGGCGGCCTGTCGGTGTGGGGCCGCGCGCGCGTGCGCGCCGGGTGGGAGAGCGTGATGGGATTTTATGGTCGAGCGGTGGGTCAGGGTCAGGATCTAGGTGAGGACGAGGACGGGGGCGAGGACGAGGGTGAGAGCTAGAGTGGGAGGGAGGGTGGGCGTCAAGTCGGCCAGGTCGACCGAGTCGGCGGGACCCGCAATTGGTTAAGAATCGGTGGTGGCACACTTTGCTATTGGGACCGGAGCGTGTTCCCACCTAGCGAACAGTAGGCGCTCGCGCGAGGCCCCGCTTCCGACAACTTGGTGAAGAGGCAACTTCGCGGCTCGCGCAGTGGCGGGAGCGGCAAGCCTTCCGATGAGCGCGGCGACGCGAAGCACGCGCCGCGCCGAAGCACTACTGCCTTTTTCACGCGTAGGCTGCGCGGCGCTTGGACAAGGACAGCATTTCGTCCGCTCTCGCGCTGCCCCGCTGCCGCTGCCGCTTTCATGCGACTCGACAAACGAGACATGCGCCAAGCCGCGCCCGCGTGGGAACGCCACTTTTAGGCGACATGGGCACAGAGATTTGGGCGAGGCCGGCAAGTCGCCCGCTGGCGCGGGGCCCGAAAACTTGGCGCGTAAGAGAATTTCGCCGCGCCGAGGTGTGAGCGCCACTATCAGGCGACATCTGTGCGGCGCCGAGGCGAGAACGATCTTTCGTCCGCTCGCGTGCCGACGAATTGGCGTGCGCGAAATCTGCGGCGTGTCAGAGCGGGAGTTCAACTCTAGGGAAAAATGAGCGCCCCGTCCAGTCTCATTCCTGTCACGCATGTTGCAACGTCGACGACACGTTTCCATGTTGAGAGCAAAAGCGTAGGCGTAGACTCTTCATGGCTGTTAACAAGTAGGATAGGAGGGTCCGGATTGACCCCCAGCCAGGTAGGTGGCGAAATAGGCTGATCGGTCTCCTTGGCCCATGAACCGCCCCCAAGACAACTGAAACAACGATTAGCGCAATTATTAGAACAACTTCAACAACTATTGCAAACAATCAATACAACAATTAGAGTTGGGAGAACAACTGTATCAACTACTACGAACAACGAATGCCGTGAACAACTATTACGAACAAGCGTAACAACTAGTATAACAACAGTTACCTACTATTACGGACAACTATAACAACAATAACACTATATCAATTTAACCGAACAAGTGTGAGTGTGAGTGTGTAAAGTGTGAGTGTGAGTATGCCTGTTTTTTGTGCGCCCCCCAAACAGCACTCGGGCGAGCAACAGGGAGGGGCGAGGAGGACGAGGGGGGCGAAGAAGGCGTGGAGGAGGGGGTGCACGAGGAAAGGAGGGGGGGTGGGTGGAGGATGGCCCAGGATGGCGGAGGAGGAACGGGGGGGGAAGGAGGAGGAAGGGGGAGGAAGAGGAGGGCGAAGGAGAGAGGGGGGGAGCTCGGGGCGGACCGCTTCGCTCACCCGTGGGTTTCGGCCCAACCGTCCATGGATTTGGTCCATGGACGCAGGGCCGGCCCCCCCGCCGGACGGCGACGGCGATGACGCCGCGAGCTTGGGCGGCCTGAGCCTAGGCTCGTCGGCGGGCCGCGGCGGGCTGAGCTTGGGCTCGTCGGCGGGTGACGACATCTCGGGTCGGGCGAAGGGAGGTTGCGGGCACGCAGCTGGATTCGGCCCCGTCGCCGGCAATTTTCCTCGATGAATTAGCGCCTCAGGCGTCGGTGGGCGCTTTGCGAGATGATGCGAGCTGATGTGCCGATCACCCATCCCCGCCCCCCCCCCCCTTCGCGCGACCCGATCTTCGGGGAGGCCGCCTGCGTCGAGGGGCTCGCGGTTTCGGACAGCGATTTGGAGGTTTGCTGGGGCCCAGCAGACCAGACCCCAGAGGTCGCGCGTTTTCCCCTTGGCCCCCTTGGGAAAAGGGGCACGAGTAGATGGGTCGTGGATCTCGCCGCAGCGCCGACGCGTCGGCGGCTCGGCTCGATGTGGAGCCCGAGCTTCTCGACGCTGCTGGCGAAGATGCATCGCCGACTTCGCCGACGCATCGGCGATGCATCGGCGATGCGTCGGCGGCGCGGCGCGGCCCCCCGACCCCCTCTGCTCGGGCCCCGCGCCGGGCAGTTCGGCGCCCCAGAGGTGCTGCCCGACGTCGAGGGCGAGGGGGCCGAGGCAGCTGCTGGCGCCTGGCATCGCAAGCGCTACAGATCCTGGGACGCGGTGTTGGACACCTTGCCCGCCCACGCTAGGACGCCGCGCCTGAGTGTCCGACGTGGGCCGCCAACGTACCGCATGTAACATGCGGTATGTTGGTGGCCCGCGTCGGACATTCAAGGGTGCTACGTAAAATTTGTTTGGGCCAAAGTTTATGTTGGATGCTCGGAACGGCTTGCCCCTGCGCCCATGGGGAGTGCCGCGCAGTCTCGCGAGGAGTGTCGTGAGCCATGGGCCCATGGGGGGCATCCCGCGTCGCGCCACCCCCTTTCCGCGCCCCCTTTCGCGCGCGACCCCCCCCCCCCCCCGCGCCCCCTCGCAGGAGGGCGGTCGGGCGCGCTGCGAGGAGGGAGTTCGTGGAGCCAGAGAGGCACCGCGCACTCGCTGGAGCCTTCAGCGACACCCGCTTGCACCTCGGAGATCGGGTCGCAGACGAGCTGAATGTTCATGGGGGACAATGACAAGGGGGGCGGCACGTTTCGGTGGGCAGTGCCGAGGTCGCTGCTCTCGTCGCCACGGCTGGGTTCGAGCCGCGCGCCCCCCCCTCGTCGCCACGGCCGGGCTCGGCCGTCGATTGAGAGTGGCGCTCGAGCGCGGCGGCTTCGTCAGCGAGCCCGCCGTTTGTCCGCCCGCGAGGTGCACCCCAACACGTGGTCGCACAGCGCGGTGGTCAAGTTCGCTCTGGAGCGCATCGGCTCCAACAGCTGCCACCACATGCGGCCGTCCTCGAACCTCTTGTCCATGATGGGGGCAGCGGCGCATGCTGGATTGTTCGCCCAGAGCATGCAGGTTCAGGCCCATCCCTTTTTTCCTCAACTGCTACCCTCCACCTCCCGTTCCACGTCGTCGCATCGCCGCGTTTCCAAGGGGGTCGCTCCGATCGGCCTCGTAGCCCGCGTGCCCCGCCCCCTCGGCGTATGAGACCGTTCGTTGAGCTTGTCCATTCCGACTGCTCTCGCGATCCAGGCCAGATCGTCTGTCCCGGTTGCCCGGCGCTTCTGGTTTGGGGTCCCACCGATGGCTCTACGCGGCCGCGGGGTCGATCGGATTGTCGCCTGAAGCTCGGCCTTGGATCCAGGCATTTCTGCGCGGTCTTGCGTCGAGGGCTCGTTCCACGAACCTGCTCGTCGCGGTGCACCGCTGGGGCGCCACTCCGAGGAACCTCGAGTTTGGTCGGTGGGCCAACATGCTGACGGACATCGCTCGATACATGCTGAGGGGCGCCGAGGGAAACCTGCAGTATCTTGACCACTCGGCGGCAGTCAAGAAGGGCATGAAGTGTAGGAATGGTCTTCTCGAGCTCCTCGCCCGAACGCTCACCCTCAGCTGGGAGGAGGACGGAAGCGCTTTTGGCCGCCCAGGAGATCGAGTCAGCAGACACGAGCAGGTCATCTATCCACCATTCATTCTTGCGAGCACCTCCGCGTCCGTCACGTACTCTGCGCTGGATCGGTCAGATTTTAACTTGGGGCGAGCCGTGGAGTTAACGGAGGTCGTCAATTTCATTATCCTCGTCCTGGGCGCCGATGGCGCAATGAGTAATATTCGATTGTTTGCGTGGATGTTGTCCAAGGTGGTGGAGTGCAACTCGAGGGCGCGCAGGGAGGGAAGGGGTCTCTTGCTTCTGCTAATGACGGTGTGCTTCAGCCACGTCCTGAACCGATCGGTGGTGCTGACTTTCGGACACACCAAGATCATTCCTGCCATTTACAACACAGCATTCTGTTTCCGATACACTCCTCGTCTGAACAAGCTCCTGCGCGCCATCGAGAGGAAGATCGCAGCCGATCTCATGGAGGGAGGCTTCGTTCTTGGAGAGCCAGACCCGAGTGACCAGCAGCACGCGATGGCGATCCTGAGCGCTGTTATTTGCCGCCCGATGCGGACGAGGGGCCGCGGGGCATCTGCAGACCCCGCCCGAGATGAAGACGTCCTGCGAGCGAGATTGGACACCATGATGTCTTTATTCAACGGGGACATCCGTTCGAGGAGAGTTTCTCACGTGTGCGCCGGCTGCTGCGCCGGCGCGGGCGACTGCGCGTCGAAGATGGCGGACCCGGGAACTTAATTTCATTGTTTTTTTTTTTTTCTCTCTCTCTCTCTCTCTCTCTCTCTCTCTCTCTCTCTCTCTCTCTCTCTCCCTCTCTTTCTCTTTATTTCTCTCTCTCTCTCTCTCTTTCTTTCTCTCTCTCTCTCTCTCTCTCTCTCTCTCTCTCCCTATATATATATATATCCCGATTTCCCCCTCCCCCCTTCCCTTCCCCGCCCCGCGCTTGACTCTCCTCCTCTCCCTATCCCTGCTTCTCTCTGCCCTTTTTCACATCTCTCTCTCTCTCTCTCTCTCTCTCTCTCCCTCTCTCTCACCCCCTCTGTCTCTGTCTCCCTGTGTCTCTCTGCCTCCCTCTCTCCCCCCCTTCCCCTCCTCCTCTCTCTCTCTCTCTCTCTCTCTCTCTCTCTCTGTCTCTCTGTCTATCTGTCTCTCTGTCTCCCTGTCTCTTCCTGTCTCTGTCTCTGTCTGTCTCTGTCTCTGTCTGTCTCTCTCTTCTCTCTCTCTCTCCTCTCTCTCTTCTCTCTCTCTCCTCTCCCTCTCTTTCTCTTTATTTCTCTCTCTCTCTCTCTCTCTCTCTCTCTCTCTCTCTTTCTTTTTCTCTCTCTCTCTCTCTCTCTCTCTCCCTATATATATATATCCCGATTTCCCCCTCCCCCCTTCCCTTCCCCGCCCCGCGCTTGACTCTTGCCTCCTCTCCCTATCCCTGCTTCTCTCTGCCCTTTTTCACATCTCTCTCTCTCTCTCTCTCTCTCTCTCTCTCTCCCTCTCTCTCACCCCTCTGTCTCTGTCTCCCGGTGTCCTCTCTGCTCCCTCTTCCCTCCCTTCCCCTCCTCCTCTCTCTCTCTCTCTCCTCTCTCTCCTCTCTCTCTTCTCTCTCTGTCTCTCTGTCTATCTGTCTCTCTGTCTCCTGTCTCCCTGTCTCTGTCTCTGTCTCTCTCTGTCTCTGTCTCTGTCTGTCTCTTCTCTTCTCTCTCTCTCTCTCTCTCTCTTTCATTTTTTTTCTTTCTCTCTCTTCTCTCTCTCCTCTCTCTCTCCTCTCTCTCTCTCTCTCTCTCTCTCTCTCTCTCTCTCTCTCTCCCCCTCGGCCTGGGCCCTCTCGGGCCCCCGTCGCAAGATTCGAACCGTGGTTCCCGAGGCCTGCAATCTCCCGTCGCTGGCTTCCGGGGCTCGTTTCCTCTTGCAATCGCGCCGGCCAGGTGGCTGCCGTCACGGAGACGTTCGTCGATTCGTTGTCCACGACTTTGCCATCCACCTCCAAGTGGTACACGGCGGAGCCTGCGATGATCCCGCAGGTGGGCTTGACATTGTTGTGCGGCATTTTGCCCCAGTTGGCTGTCGGGACGATCGAGCAGTTGGATGAGAACGACGAAGATGAGCTCAGACGATCGTGTGCCATGAAAGTCAACAAAGCCAAGAGTAGCCTCACGGACCCGCAGCACTGGCAGGACATCACAGCGGCCTTCTGGGGAGCGGAGCCCGTGGATAAGTTGGACGCAACACTTCAACATCTCGATGAATCTGGCCATGCGTTGGAAGACGCTGCCCGCGAAGATGGGTGCGTCGCAGTTTGCCAGAAGGAGCTGTTCGACCGTGCAATGTCGAGCCCTGGACTTAGTGTCTGTTCGCAGAGTGGGTCGTGGCTCGCAAAATCCATCATCGTCCTTCGTCGTTCGGTGCTCGTCTGGTGGAATGCCGAATGGACCTCGCCAACATTCGGCGATGCGATCATGCGACCGCCGTGCGGCATGGTCGCTGGTCGCACGATTGCATCGTCGACTCTTCGCCTGGTCGGCGGCATTAGCACGATCCATCGTGGCCGCAATTTTCATATGATTATTGCGGCTGCGGCAGGCAGCAAAATTCGAGATCGGCCATCGATGAGGCCGCAGCTGGCCGTGCCATGCAGATCAGGTCCTGGTACCTTCATCCCGCTGTCGCGCCTGGTCCACCACTTTGCCCCTGAGCCTGGAGTCGACTGTGTTGTATTTCAACGGGCAGCCTTCGTTCGGGTGATGTCGATCAGCGCTATTGTCTGGTCGCGGGTTGTGATCCCCATGACTGAGCCCCCTCTGGTGTTCTCCAGGCTGTCTGACCCCAAATGCTCTGATTTGGATCGCGGGGCCTTGTGGCACGACTTCTCGCGCCGTCCGAAATGTTGCTTGGACTGGGGGTTTTCCCGGCCCATGCGAGAGGCCAGCGTGGATTTCGCCGCCTTCGAGGCTGCAGCATGCGGCATGAGTAGGCGAGCGGGCGCCACAAACATGGGTCTGGAGCGCCTGCTGAACTTGATTACCAAGTCGGCGCCATCCCAAGTGAGACGCCCTGTCGCAGAGCGAGTCGTGTACGCGGGGGCCCTCACTCAGTTCCAGCAGAGGTATCTCCAGGTGGGCTTCCAGGATCGCCGGGGCCACGAGAAGCGGGCCGACCTTGTGCGGCGCGGGGTTCCTATTGCGGCCACTGCGAAGTCGAGGTCGGCAGGCAGCGGCAGCAGGGTCCACGTCAGCTATGGCAACATGTTGTTGGCGCAATGGCTGGCCGATCACCCTGAGGCCACAGAGCGGGAGATCAGAGAGCAGCAGTCGAAGTGCATGTCTGCATGGGGGAAGGTCTCGCTGCGCGAGCAGCTGCGGTTCTTGGCAGAGCGCGGCCCCTCGGACGCCGAGCGTGCACTTCCCCAGTCGGGGGCCCATCGCGCCGCGGCATCTGGTGACGATAGCGATCGACCGATCATCGCGATTTGATATAAAGTCGCTTGTTCGTACCCTACGGCGCGCAGGCGCGGTGCATGTATCATAGTATGGGGAACGCCTGCATATGCGGTATGCGGCATATGATAGCATAGTTTCATTGTGCGTTGTTTACTTGTGTTATATGTATGTGTGTGCACATGTGCACACACGTACGCATCTACAAATGTATCTCTCTTTTTATATATATATATATATATATATGTAAAGCGAGCACTGTTTCGCCGATGTCCAGAGACTACGGGGCCCTGCAAAACACGGGCGGATCCAAGGAATGTGCCTGATTATCTGTTAAGTGCCGCATGTTTCGTGTTCCGATATTTTGGTTTATATAGATGCACGCACATATATATATATATATATATATATATATATATATATATATGTGTGCACGCGTGTGCGCACATACACACACGTATTTATAGAGATATCGATAAATGGAGCTATTCGGGCCCTCTGGCCATAAGAAGGCCACAAGGGGGCGCCCGAAAAACGCCTGGCCCCAAGAGGCCCAAAGAGGGCCCCAAGAGGACCCCGAGAGAGCACCAATGGGAAGTATTCTGGGCCATCTGGGCCTTCTGGGGGCCCTCGTGGGGCTTCTGCGGGCCCCTCGCGGTGCCTTCTCGAATCTTATTCGGCTTCTCCCGCGACTGGCGTTGCCGGCGAGCGCGCCTGCGATCCGCGCGACCGGGGGCGCGGCCCGATTCAAATCGGCTTCCCGCCGCCCGATGGCCGCGGCCGACGGGGCGCCCGGGTCGGATCTCCTGCCGGGGGAAGCCCTGGGCCCGAGCGAGTGGACTGCCGTGATCGGGGACAACCATTGGTGCATTTCACCCTCGCACGTCGAGGGCATGCTTCGGTCCTGGGGCGACTGCGAGGAGCTGCCGGGCTGCGACGATCGGGAGGGCGGGGTTTACAAGAGGTTCCAGCCCATCCGGGACACGGTGGCCGACAAGTACCTTGTCAGGGACGAGAACCTCATGAGGGGCCAGGACGACATCGAATTCCCCCTTCCGTGCCAATCCGTCCACTACGGCTTGTGCGCCACCAGGAACCGCGCGAGTTACGGGTTCGTGCTCGCGGTTGCCGCCTCGCTGGAGGCGTACTTCACGAAAGGCGGCGTCGGCAAGTTCTTCGCGATGAACTCGATGATGGTGGGCGACGGCGGCGACGAGGGCCCGCTCGCGTTCGTTTTCTTGTGCCCAGACCCCTTTCCGCGGCCCCGAGATCGCCCCGGCCGGGGCCCGAGGGCAAGGGCGTGGGGGGCGGCGGCGGGAGGGCGGGGCGGAGAGCAGCACGAGGAGGAGGTGAGGCCATGCGACGGGGGCCCCGGGGATTATGATGATGCTGATGATGGTGATGATGATGATGACGATGATGCCGATGACGCGATGCTGGCACTGACGATGATGGCGAGGAGGGGGAGGCGGAGGAGGACGAGGAGGAGGAGGAGGACGGGGAGGAGGAGGAGGAGGAGGAGGAGGATGGGGGGCTGATTGACAAGATGGCCCCCCAGGCTTGTTTGGCACGATGGCCCTCCCAGGCTCGTTTTAAATCGTGGTCCCCCGAGGGTTCGCGAAAGTCACAAGTCTCGCCCGCGGGCCCCAGACGGCAAGTCCCCCGAGGGTTCGCCAAAGTTCCCCCGGAGGTTGGCAGAATTGCCAACATCCGGCAGCGGACGTCCGCGGAGGTTGGCAATTTTGCCAACCTCCGGGGGGCTTGCCGAAAGTCCCCCGAGGGCTCGCGAAAGTCTGACCGGAGGTTGGCAAAATTGCCATCCTCCGGCAGCGGACGGCCGCGGAGGTTGGCGAGGAGGAGGAGGAGGAGGAGGACGAAGAGGAGGAGGAGGAGGACCTGTCCACCGCACCTGGCCAAGCGCCCATCCCAGGCCCACGATCGGTGCACACGCCTCCTCGGCCGAGTGCCAAGACGGGGAGCGCGCGCCGCTCCGGGGCCCACGGCTGAGGTCCTCCGCCTCCTCCTCCTCCTCCTCCTCATCCTCCTCCTCCTCCTCCTCCTCTTCCTCCTCCTCCTCCTCCTCCGCCTCTCCTCCTCCCCCTCCTCCTCCTCCTCCTCCTCTTCCTCCTCCTCCTCCTCTTCGTCCTCCTCCTCTTCCTCCTCCTCCTCCTCCTCCTCCTCCTCCTCCTCCTCTTGTTCCACCCTCGCCTCGATTTCCTCAACCTCCTCCTCAACCTCTTCTTCCTTTGTCTCCTTGACCTCGTTCTCCTTGTCCTCGCGTTCCTCCTCCCCCTCCTCCTCCTCCTCCGCCTCCTCCTTTTTCATCTTCCTCCTCTCGAATAAAGTTCTTAGCCGTTGTAGCGCACGGCGGGACGCCAAGCTTCCAAAAAACAAGTTGGTCGGAAATGCTTGCATGGACTTACGAGGAAGGGGCATGGCACGGGAGGGTGCGTAGCAGCATCCTAAGTTATCTCTAGTCCTCCTCCCCCTCCTCAATCGTTTGTTGACGGTTGAAAGGCCCGGCGAAGGCCCCCGGAGCCGAAAAGAACGAAAAACTTCCAATTGTTTTTTTATCACAGCGCCCGATCTAGGGGATCGTCGTCGCCCTCGCCGCCGCCCCCACCACGGCCTTCTCGGGAGCCCTCTCGAGGGCCTCTTGGGGCCCTCTCGGGGGCCTCTTGAGGCCCCCGAGAGGGCGAGAAATTAATTGGCGACGCGGCCATCCGCGGGCGAGAAATTAATTGGCGACGATCCGCGCACGCGTCAGGCTCCAACTCCCCACTCAAATTCGCCGCGCACGTCGGGCCAACTTCCCCGGCCGCGCCGGGAGCACCACGTCAGGCAACAATCCCCGGCCGCACCGAGAGCACCACGTCAGGCCAAAATCCCCGGCCACGCGTGGAGTCGTAATCCCCAGCCGCGCCCGACCCCCCGGCCAAGAGCACGTCAGGCCAGCTGCAACAACCATCGGCTGCAACAGCCACCCACCGCACACGCGTCACGCTCCAACTCCACGCCCAATTCCGCCGCGCACGTCAGGCCACAATCCCCGGCCGCACCGGCGGCACCTCGTCAGGCCAAAATCCCCAGCCGCGCGTAGGCCCGCAATCCCCAGCCGAACCGGACCTCCCGGCCAAGAGCACGTCAGGCCATTATCCCCAACCGCACCAAGAGCATCACTCACCGCCCAGCATCGCGGGATCTCTGCAACGTGGCGAGTGCTGCAACAACCATCGGTTGCAACAGCCACCCGCCGCACACGCGTCACGCTCCAACTCCCAACCAAACGCCGCCGCGCACGTCAGGCCAAAATCCCCGGCCGCACCGAGAGCACCACGTCAGGCCGAAATCCCCTGCCGCACCGGGGGCACCACGTACGTCAGGCCAAAATCCCCGGCCACGCGTGGAGCCGTAATCCCCAGCCGCACCGACCCCCGGGCCAAGAGCACGTCTGGCCAAAATCCCCAACCGCACCGAAAGCATCGCTCACCGTCCAGCATCGTCGCGGGATCTCTGCAACGAGGCGTGTGCTGCAACAACCGTCGGTGGCAACGGCCACCCGCCGCGCACGCGTCAGGCTCCAACTCCCCGGGCCGCACCGGGAGCACCACGTCAGGCCACAATCCCCTGCCGCACCGGGGGCGCCACGTCCGTCAGGCCAAAATCCCCGGCCACGCGTGGAGCCGTAATCCCCAGCCGCGGCGGACCCCCAGGCCAAGAGCACGTCAGGCCAAAATCCCCAACCGCACCGAAAGCATCACTCACCGGGCAGCATCGCGGGCTCTCTGCAACGAGGCGAGTGCACCACGTACGTCAGGCCGAAGTCCTCAGCCGCGCGTGGGTTTAATCCCCATCCGCAGCCCGCCGCACACGCGTCACGCTTCAACTCTTCCCCGAAACCCGCCGCATACGTCAGGCCGACATCCTCGGACGCACCGGGAGCACCGCGTCAGGCCAAAATCCCCGGCCGCAACGGGGGGCACCACGCGCGTCAGGCCAAAATCCCCGGCCTCTCGGGCCATTTTTTGGCCGATCCGCGGGCGAGAAATTAATTGGCGACGACGCCCGACGACGGCGACGACGACGACGACGACCGACGACCGACGACGACGACGACGACGACGACCGACGACGACGGAAAGGGGATGGCGACGGAGGGAACATCAGCAACCATATCAGTTCTTATGCCCCAAAGCAAAGTAAGGCGCTGGGGCATAAGAGCTTTGCTCCTCGAGCGGTTTAAGATATGTTACAGTATGTTATGTTCCTCCTCTTCCTCCTCCTCCTCCTCCCCCGGTTTTCCGATGGCCCTCCCAGGCTCGTTCCAAACGATGGCCCCCCCAGGCCTGTTTCAAACGGTGGCCCTTTCCAGGCGCGTTCCGAACGATGGCGCCCCAGGCCAGTTTGACACGATGGTCCTCCCAGGCCTGTTTTACATCGTGGACCTCCCAGGCCGGCAGGATCTCGGAAGCTCTCTAGACCCCCCGCCAATAGCCCGAGGGCGGAAGGTACTTGGCGCACGTTCGCTCGAGGCGGCCCCTCGTCCATATCACGCACGTGTTTTGCGCGGCTGACTGGTCGGGGGTCACGCTGGAGAATCCAGATCTAGATTCGGAGAGGCGCGCTGAGATCAGTTGCGCGTCGGTTCGCGAGGGCGTGTTCTCCTGGATGACGGTCTGGATGATTGCGCTGGAGTTGCTAGGTGGCGCGGTTCGTGTCGAGGCTGATTTTCGGCGGTTCAGGGTGACCTGCGCCGAGCTTGCGCTGGCAGAGCGAGTGGGCCCCTTCCGCGTCCAGTCCGCGCGCCCCCACGAGCAGGTGCACCCACCCGTGCCCAAGCCCAGACAACCTCGGGAGCCGATGGATGACGTCGGGGATCGTCGCCCGAAGGCAACGCCGCGAAGGCCGAAGGGCAAGTTGCGCACCCGAGGCCCTGTCCCCGATGGCGACGGCGATGGCGCCGACCCGCCCGAGCCGTTCGAGCACCATAGCGTGGGCCATTCCGATTCTGGAGAGTCGTTCGGGCGCAGTCCTGC